GTGGGAGTCAAAACGCAAATATTGGTCTGTGTGGGTGGGCTTACGATATACGCCAGTTTCCAACCATCCTCCATCCGAAAGTGAGACATTGCAATCCAGGAACGCCAACCTGCCATTTTTTACATCCTCTCATGTGAACTTWATATATTCATCCACAGAGTTGATGTGATCAGTGAAATGTTGGACTTCCTGGGCTTTAATTTTAAKCCAGGTGTCGTCAACATATCTGAACCAATGGCTCGGTGGCACCCCTGAGAAGGACATCAAGGCTCTCTTTTCCACTTCCTCCATGTACAGGTTTGCAACAATAGGAGAAACTGGGGATCTCATAGCACTCCCATGTTTCTGCCTATAATATTGCCCCCCCGTACTTGATATGAGGTTGACTCCTGCTTGATTTTTTTTCTTTTTGATTACAGGACTTTGAAAAATTTTACATTCTTAATTTACCAGGTCCTCACTTTCAGGAAAACTGCCATGGAAAACTTAAATCCCCTCTGCTCCACAAAATTAAAGATGTTTGAGTAACATATTTAAGAATTTTAGACTTTTTAAAAAGGCCTTAATTTAGATGTGCGACTATCGTATTCACACGTAATATTAGGTGTGAATGGTCTACCGTACTATCAGCCTGATAGTTCGGTAGACTTGGTTCGATTGGGGACCAAAGTGGCAAAATTTGTTTACATTTTCAGTTAGTGTGTTCACTTCAAATGAACTAAACCCTGTGAACAAATAGTTCCCTCCTTGCCTGTGGCGGCGCTGCACCAAGAACCACTGAAGGAATCCACATGAAAACATCTGAAGTAGACATGGAGCGCAACTTCCTTCTTCACACAAAATGTAAAAAAAACKWMGAGTGATGTCAGATTTTAATGGTTGTAGGATTTATTTTATGTTTTTCGTAAATGTGCCAACCAAATAGTCTTCAACAATGATCAGCATGAGTGGAGGACGAGGCAGATATGCAGAGTAGGGCTGCAAATAACGATTATTTTAACAAGCGATTAATCTGTTGATAATTTTTTTCGATTAATTGGCCAAATCATTAAAATGCTTGACATGAATATGAGTAGATATAAATTAAGTTAACTCCTTAAGGATGCAAGTTATTGATATTGAATTAATCTGAAGTTGATTTATCTTTTAGATAGATTAACAGTTAATTAATAAGCAGCCATTATTTTTTAAAAAAATGGAGTTCTCTTGAATCAAGAGGGTCTTCCCATAAAAAAGATTTTATAATCTCCTGAATTAAAAAACAGAAGCACATAATACAAATTTTAACAATTTATTTTGCCAGCTCTATTAAATATTGACTGAAAAAAATGTGTATTTCTCCTACATGAAACATAACAGAAATTTAATAGGTTGCTGAATGAGGAAAATAGATTAAAATAAAATATGATTTTTAAATGTAAAACTATTAATTTATTATAATTTATTTACATTTAACATTTATTTTTTTCTCTAATTCTTTACTTTTTGTTTCATTCTTGTTGGTTCTGTTTGACTAAAACATTGTTTGACCCTAGGGCTGCCACAAACGTTTATTTTTATAATCGATTAATCACTGATTATTTTTTTCAATTAGTCGATTAATCAGATCATACGTTAATGGAATATAAAACAGAGCTAAATCGTGCCAGAATGCAGCTGCTATCATATAACCATCGTTAGATTTTAGCTATATGCTAACTAAAAATAATTGCTGTGGAAGGTAAGTTCTGCTCTGCAGATATTGCACAGGTTTCTCTTTCATTTTCTTAAAATGATCCCACACTTTTGAGCTCCGTTGCTGGGTAGCCATGATACCAGAGCCTGTCTGTATAATGTCTTGTGACGTCCACGGCCTACCCCAGTTACCACTACTGTGCATGTGTGTCAAGGACAGAAAGGCAGATGTGGCAGTGGAAGGTGTCAAAGCAGTTTGTAGAGAAAAACAAAGTAAAGAACAAAAAAAAGAAAACGATTAATCAATTATTAAATTAGTCATCGATTATTTTAATAATCGATTAGTCGTCAATAAATCGTTGCAGCCCTAAAGATATGAGTTAAGTTATTACTGCCATTTCTCAGAATGCCCTGCGGTCTAGTCCGCTTCCTGCTTTTGGAGCGGTCTCTGGTCCGCTTGGCCTACACACATGCATTCGAACTACATCAGAGTTCACTTCAACCAAACTGAGACCTAGGTTTTCAGGCAGACGAGAGTTTGCTTTTTTTTGGTCCACATCAGAGTTTAATTATGTGTTCACCCCCCACCTCTCCCACCCTAACAACCCAGACTTTCCAGGCAAACAAACTAGAGTTTGATTAAAGRGGACTAAACATATGAAGTAGGACTTTTAAGGATGCACAGACACCCTGTAGAGTACAGCTGGTCTAGGACTGGACTTCTGTGGTCTAGGTGTTCAAAGCTGGAAGAGAAACTCCAGAACACCTAAAACTGACTGGAACTGCAGCAAAAGGTGGTTTTACAAAATCTATTGAAGACAATTATGCACTATATGTGTTGAAGTTTGTGGTTGTAACATGATAAAATGTCAAATTCAAAATCAAAAAGGTATGAATCCTTTTTCATAGTCTGAGGCATTAAATGTCTGACATAAAAAAAATGGACTCAATAAGGGGTTTAAAGGAACATTTTTTTTTACCTGAAGAAACGAGGGACATGCTCCTCCCCTCTCTTGGCCATCTCCTTCCTCCGCTCTCTCTGCTTTTCTTCAACTTCATCTTTCTTTTTATCTGCCTCTGCCACTTTCCCCTCCTCTAGAAGCCTGAAGGAGGCGGGAGTGTTCAGAGTTAAACAAGAGCAATACACTGTAGTACTACAGATTAAAAACGGTAAATACCTCTGGTCTGGTCTGAAGCGCGTGTCCGTAGGTGGGAGGACACCTATCAGGTCTGGGGTCAGTTCGTTCAGTTCTCTGGCGTATTGTGAAAAGCCATAGAACTGGGCGTAGTCATCAGGCTGCGCATCTGAACAGAAATGATATTTATCTTAAGACTAACATCCTGTTTCATTCTGAGGTTTGAAACCCTCAAACTACAACCAGAAAGAGGATGCTTATTATCTTTAGCTGTATGAGTGAAGTCTCTTCACTCAGACTGAAGGTAAAGCTCCTTACTGGGCTTCCAGATGCACTTCGGTGTAGGCAGAGTGTCACAGAAGATGCCTTCATGCCAGAGGCCTCCGAACCGATGAACCACCTCTCCTGCCCGGTTCAGGACCGCACCCTGAACCTCATTCTTAGTGCTGTCCGAGCTCCAGTAACGAGACTGTAAAACYGAGATCAGGTAATGAAGGACAGTTCACCCAGGCGTACGGGAACAGGTGGAGGTGAAGTCATGGAGAAGTTTACCTTGACGAAGGTAATCTTGCAGGTGCACTCGTCGCTATTTTTGTTTCTTATGACCACCTCTCCATAYTGCTCTAACCAGCGCTGCTGACTCAGTACGTTGTGGATACAGGTCACTGCCTTGTTCCATACGTAGTGATCACCATACCTACAGACACATACAGTGCATTAATATTACTTGCAAAAAAAAGGTGAGTTTGTACAGATTTCTGTATTAAAGGCTCGGTTGATGTAAAACAGTTGATGTGGTGCAGCTCAGAGCTGATCAAACTTTGCTGCAGGTCTAAAACACTTGCAGACTCACTGGTTTTARGTCTCATAAAATAATAAATAAATAAAACTGTCCTTCAACCCAGTGTAAGAGGACTTTGACCTTATTGTGCTTTTTTTATTCATCTATTTGTTTCATTGTTTGTCTTTATTACGTCTGCAGAGTGACATATTCACTCTTTTGTCCTTTGTTTTATCGTACAGCATGTTGGTCAGCCTTCTCTTTAGATTTCTTATAAATAAACTGGTATAAATATCTATATATAAAGCGAAGATGCACATACTGGAGCATAAACATGATCAGAAAAACAGCATCACAGATTTAATGATGCAGCTGTAATTGGTTTAAAATTGGGTTCTAAACATTTTGTTTTTACGTCTATATTTTCTCAGAATTTCAAACTACAGAGCCGCTTCTTATTTACCACCATACAGTAAAACCATCAAGACATTTCTGCCATAATCCAACAAAATTAAAATGGTCTTAATGACCCACCGTTTGCTGTTTACCATTGATGTGTGTTAGGATTGCAAAATTATATAATTATTGTTAAAACTAGTTTATGAAACTAGTWACCTTACACCCCCAGATTTGAGTCACTCTCCAGAACCTTAATTTCCATTTCAGCTGCAGAATAAAAAGTTCAGCTGCCTTTTTCTAAAATATTTTTACAGAAACTACTCGACTATAAACAAACTCCAAAAAGATATGACTGATTTTAAAATCCCAAAAACCTATGTTTTATTCACAACTTGTAAAACTTTAGTTAAAAAATTTAGCTATTTTCTAATTCTACACATTTTATGGCAGCAACATGTCTCAAAATGTTGGGTCAAAAGGCAAGAAATGGATGTAAAATAAGGGGTACAAACAAACAGCTGGACAAGCTTTTTGTAACAAAAAAGGTTATTTTTCAACAGATCAGAGGACRGAGGATAAAAAGAGATCGAGGCTGAATCTTTCAGAAATTTAGAGTAGCAGAAGGTTGTGAAACAAACTTTCAGATTAAAGTTCCTCAACAGAAAACTCTGAAATTTCAGTTACATTTTGTAATCTGATCAACTAATTATTATAATCTGTAATGATCTCAGAGCTCAAAAACTAAGCCAATATTTGACTGTCATGATCTTCACTTCATTAAAACCTGGTCTGGTTCTGATCTGGACTCAGGAACACTTCCACATCCACTAATGCTGCTTAAAGCTCTATCACACAAAGAAGAAGTTGTGGTCAACCCCATCCAGAAACGCTGCTGTCTTCTCTGAACCAAAGATCGTTTAAATGGACTGAACAGAAAGGTTCTGTACTGGGACCTAAGTTATTTATTTTATATGTGAATGACTTAGTAAATGTGTCAGGACTTTTCAAATGTGTTTTATTTGCTGACGATACATTTTTTGTTTAGGTAAAGATACAGAAAAAATATTTGAGATGGTACAGAAAGAATTTGAGAAAAATACAAAATTGGTTTCAACAAAACCTGTCATTAAACTTGGATAAAACAAATTACTTGATATTTAATAATAGGAAGACAACTGTTGATTTCTCATTTAAAGTAGATTGTGTTGAGCTCTAAAGTCAGTGAGGTGAAATTTCTCGGTGTCATCATTGATGACAAGCTGACATGGAGACATTATTTGAGAACCAAAATAGCTAAATCTATAGAAGTACTGAATAAAGCCAGGGAGTTATTTAATGACAAAGCTCTGCTTGTGTTGTACAATTCAATAATTGTGCCACATTTAATTTACTGTATTGAAGTCTGGGGTACGGCTTGCAAAACAATTACAAATCTGATTTGTTTTGCAGAAAAGAGCCATAAGAATTATCATGAGAAAAGATTACAAACATCCATTAAATATATTATTTTGTAAACTGAAAATTTTGAAATTCTATGATTTGATTGACTACAATATTTTACTGTTTATGTACAAGGCTCATAAAAGCTTCTTTCCAACATTCAGGTAAACTTTGTTAAAGGGATTCCCGATTAGTTGTAACATTAGACTTTGATAAACATTTATTTTAACTGTAAAATAAAGACTAAAAATACTGTAGGCCGTTTAGTTTTGTAAATGTTTTAAAATGTATTTTAACACAGACGAAGCTATTTATTTACACACAAAGCATTCTGGGTAAATGATGACATGGATAGGTCCTCGGTGTGAGCGAGCTATATCCTCCCTGAAGGTTAATCTTGGACAATATCTGATGATCGACTCTTTTAAATGAAACCAGAGAGCGTTGACAGAGAGGAGAAGGTAGAAATGACTCAGRCTGTAACTGAAAATATHGATGGAGGACAACAGAGCTGCTTCATGGAAGAAGAACCTCAGCTTAGCCTGTTAGCTTTAGCACCAACGCTATATTGCCTTATATGTATTAGCTCAGCGCTAGCGCAACAAACAAGCTAAACTGAGGTCCTCCGTCTAAATTTTCAGTTACAGGCTGAGTCATTTTTGCGTTCTCCTCTCTGTCATGTGGATGGAGGACCTCAGTGACGAGGAGAATGTGTAGCACTGAGCTAATACATATATATGGTGATAGCATCAGGGCTAACGCTAAAGGGGATGGAAATGTTTGTGAAGCCAAATTTTTGTACTTTCTTGAGAGAAAGATGTACTTTAATCCAGGGTATGGGATTGTGGAATGGTTTGGAGGATGAGGTTAAAAATGCCAGATCTACGTATATATTTAAAAGACATAAAGCTAGTTTTCTGAAGGTATATGAAAAAGTAAAATGTGAAGCTATTAATTGTTGTTTGAGTTGATGTTTTTTTATTTTTATTTAGTATTGTTTTGTAAATTATGTTTTTTAAGGGGCAGACATGAGATTTATTCTTTTTCTGTTACCTTTCATTTTGTTTTGATTTTTTATTTGTGTATTTTCTTTGTTGTTTTATTGCATATAGTTATTTTTTAATGAAATTAAATTTTTAATTGAATTGAAACAGAACTGTTCTGTGGTTAAACAGACCCAATATTTWAAACCTTTTTAAAAAACAAAAACACCACAAGCTCTGTACTAAAGAGAAGAGGAACCATCCAGACTGGCATCAGTGCACAGTTCAAAGCCTGCCTCTCTGATAGTATGAGGGTGCATTAGTGCTTCTGGAATGGGCACCTGACACATGAAAAGTCAATATCCATGCAGACAAACAAGTATCAAAAGCAGGTTTAACAACAAAATCATCTCCTCTTCAGCAGAGAATACCCAGGACTGTTGAAAAGCTCAACTCCATCAGAGCAGAATGGGACAACATCAACTCGCTTTACGGCGAGGCCGGCCCAAACCCTCTCCCTCARCACCTCAGTCCATTCAGAAATGGAAGGCCAGATGGCCAGAAGACATCCAAGCCCTGGCCTGGGCTGACTTCTGAAGGAACATTTTGTTTTGTAGAGTTTACTTTAAATGAATCAGGTATTGTTAAAACTTATTTTGGAAAGAGGAGAGCAAAGTAGAAATGTTTACCCATCATGCACTGCTGCACATTTGGATAAAGCCAAACAGCACAAACACCWAACTATTTGGGTTGGGCTCCTTTAGAATCCTTTAGTCCACAGAGGAGTTCATTTTCCACTACAGTCAAATGTCAATCCATCTGTCTGACAGCTGAAGTTTGGACCAAACTGGGTCCAACAGAACCTTGATCCCAAACACAGCAGCTGATCTATAACAGAACAAGTATAAAAGAACAGAACCATGTTGCTGCAGCGGCCCAGGGTCCTCTAATGGATTGAAATTTGGTGAGAGCTGTACAGGATCAAATGTCTGCAAACCTAAATAAACTAAACCAGTGTTAGAAGKGTGGGCCAAACACATTTCCACAACCCTGTGAGAACAGAAAACCACTACTGTGGGTCCCTGCTGTTCAGAAGGTATCAGAGACTAGTCTTAGTTTTTCCATCATTCTTTGTTTCATATACTTATACTCATATACTTGTGTTTTGTACACGAGATTAGATTTGAATAATTTTATAACACGGCAAAGATCAGACTTTTTTTAGGATGACTAGATTGGTAAAAGCATTAAACTGTAAGGAGGGATTTAATTCATCCCAAGATATAATTTACGTTTAAACAAAACAGGACGTTAATAAATGACTGTTGAAACTCGTTAGCTTTAGTTTTGTGTGACTGGTACAAATAATACTAAGAATAACTTACCTTGGGAGGGTAACGTTGACCAGTCCTGTAGAAATGATCTCCACAGACTTTCCCCAGAACTTGTTCTTCCATCTCTGATCTAAAAGCAGATAAAAAAAATGTAAAAAAATGTTCTTTAAACTCACATTTTTGAAGCTTCAGCCCTCAGAGGGAAACAAACCCTTACCTTGCCAGAAAGTGAAGTTTTCAGACTCTGCATGGCAGGCAGAGACGGGGGGATGATGGCAGACCTGAACACATACAACATGTCACTGCAGTCTTCTCTATCACATAAGGAGTTAACGTGTTTATAAGTGATACTTACCTGTTCACTGACGTAATAAAACCCTCTGTCTTCTCTGTGGTTTTCATATGTTTCGCCCAGAATAGGGTTGAAGGGTTTGTACCGATATCTCCAGGTTGCCCAGGCATAACCAGAGATTGAGAATGCTGCCACATAAACCTACAAACATACATACTTATGGTCAATCATTAATAGAGGTTACCACATCGTCTGCTCTATGTTGATTTCTAAACCGCTGGTTCCAAGAAAGACCAACTCACCATTCTCTCAAAGGGATCYTCAGTGTGATTGGCGATGTCCAGCAGGTCAGGATACTCCAGCTCTTCACTGAGCCTCTGAAGCAAAGACAGCGGCTCATTCAGAGCGACTGGCATGGAGACTCTGGACAGGTCTTTACCAATGTTGTTGTACAAGATGGACATGATACCAATATGGCTGTTGTCTGCTCCCGCGGCGGGAAGAGTAGTGCGACGACCTGACATACAGCAACACAGAGGATAGATGACGATGCATGAAGACAGATGGCTGACTTAAAAACTGTCCAAGTGTCAGATGTTTAGTATATTGTTGGATTTGTACTCAGTTTACAACACTGTGCTGTCACCAAACCAGCAGGTCACCTGTATCTCTGGGCACAAGGTTGGGTTTGTCAGTTGCACTCTTCAGATTTTCTCTGTAGTTCAGGGTAGTGGATGCTACAAAAGAAAAGCTGATTTGACACATTCTGTTTCATTTTCTGGAAAAGATCAAGAAATGTCCAAGCTAGTGACTTACAGTGTCCTTCTTCAGGCTCCGAGTTGCTCGTGGTGGTGACATCACTCAGGCCCGACTCATCTGAAGCTTCAGCTTCTGATGAAGTCTCACATACAATCACCTCACTGGCATCAAAATACTCTGCCATGGACTCTGCCACTGAGGGAGCACGGTGACTGTGACGACCCATAGATGGAGTCCTCTGCAAGCAAGCACAACTAAAGATTTTAGGACTTTTTTATTGTACTATTTAAACAAACTGAACAGTTCTTTATATTGCACGCTTTGTAAATAAGGAGATGAACTCATTTCCATTTTTGTTTGATACACCAAGAAGACACTTGTTATGACTTGGAGCTACAAACTCAATCCGGTTTAGGGGCTATGAGATTGCCTTGATAAGCAGCAGAAGATGGATGAATTATTCCAGTTTGGTTTACTAGAGCTTAAATTATGTGCACAGTATATGTACAGTACATGTTTCTGTACATAGTCATTTGAAAAAGTTTGGGCACTGGGCAGTCTTGTTAATTTTCCTGATTTACCTTTATAAATCATTGATTGGAAAAAATATATATATCATGTAGGGGACAAACAGTGATATTTGAGAAGTGAAATGAAGTTGAAAAGATTTACAGAAAGTGTGCAATAATTGTTTAAASTAAATTAGACAGGTGCATAAATTTGGGCACCAAAAATAAAACCTTAACTCAATATTTAGTAGATCCTCCTTTCACAGAAATAACAGCCTCTAAACACTTCCTACAGCTTCTAATGAGAGTCTGGATTGTGGCTGAAGGTATTTTAGACCACTCTTCTTTACAAAACATCTCTACTTCTTTCAGGTTTGTTGGTTTCCAACCACAGACAGCTCTCTTTAAGTGACACCACAGATTTTCAATAATATTCAGGTCTGGGGACTGAGATGGCCATTCCAGAACGTTGTATTTGTTCCTCTGCATGAAGGCCTTAGTAGATTTTGAGCAGTGTTTAGGGTGGTGTCATGTTGGAAGATSCAGCCCCGGCTTCAGCAGCTTCAGCTTTGTCACTGATTCCTGGACATTGGTCTCCAGAATCGGCTGATATTYATTGAAATCCATGCGTCCGTCAACTTTAACAAGATTCCCAGTCCCTGTACTGGCCACACAGCCCCACAGAATGATGGAACCACCACCACATTTTACTGTAGGTAGCAGGTGTTTTTCTTGGAGTGCTGTGTTCTTTTTCCTCCATGCATAATGACCCTTGTTCTGCCCAAATAACTCTATTTTAGTTTCATCAGTCCACAGCACCTTATTCCAAAATGGAGCTGGCTTGTCCAAATGTGCTTTAGCAAACCTCAAGCAGCTCTGTTTGTGATGTGGGCAGAGAAAAGTCTTCCTCTGCATCACTCTCCCATACAGCATCTCCTTGTGTAAAGTGTGCTGAATAGATGAACGATGCACAGTGACTCCATCAGCAGCAAGATGATGTTGTAGGTCTTTGGTGCTGGTCTGTGGGTTGACTCTGATTGTTCTCAACATCCTTCACTTCTGTTTATTGGAGATTTTTCTTGGTCTGCCKCTTCGATCCTTGACTTGAACTGTGCCTGTGGTCCTCCATTTTCTCACAATGTTTCTCACTGTGGAGACTGAAAGCTGAAATCTCTGAGATAGCTTTCTGTATCTTTCCCCTAAACCATGACGGTGAACAATCTTTGTTTTCAGATCATTTGAAAGTTGTTTTGAGACTCCCGCTGCCACTCTTCAGAGGAGATGCAAAGAGGAGAATAACCTACAATCACCTCCTTTAAATGCCCTCTCTCATACTTGGAGTCAACTGTGTTTGGAAGCCAAGGGTCACTGAACTTACTAAACCAAATTTGATTTCCAATAATTAGTTCTAAAGGTTTTGAAATCAATAAAATGACCACAGTGTCCAAATTTATGCACCTGCCTAATTTTGTTTAACCAATTATTGCACASTTTCTGTAAATCATATCAACTTCATTTCACTTCTCAAATATCACTGTGTTTGTCCCCATATGATGTATTTAACTGATTTTTTTTATCCAAACAATCAATGATTTATAAAAGGTAAATCAGAAAAATTAACAAGGGTGCCCAAACCTTTTCATATGACTGTATGTGGGATAACAGGAGCATTTGATAATGTTTTCAGAATGAAACACCAAACAAAAAGACATCAGGGCTTAAAACAGGGCTTAAAACACACAATGCAGTACACACCTGGTCTGGGCGGACAGTGCAGAAGGATTCTTCAGAAGAGTCAGAGGACAGGGAAAGTGAGTGGACTTTGGTGTGATGGGCCTGTATGTCAAGCTACACGTGCACACACATGGACGGACGTGCAGCCAAGCACGGAGCAGCCAAGCAGGCAAAAAACAGAGAAGATACAACAAATGAATGGAACACCAGCCTTCAGAGCATCTGGTGTTAATGAGACAGTTATTCCACACAGTAACAGAACCTGCTTCCTTTTGGGTTTATTCATCATAAAGTTTGGATCTGGAACAGGTCTGGACTGAATTAGATTTCATACAACTTGACATGATCTGGATTGTTGTTTTTCTTGTTMCTTTTCTTGTTGCTCTGGCTGCACCTTAAAGCGTGGTGACACGTCAAGTTTGTTATGTGTTGTGTGGTGAAGTTGCAGCAAACTATGGCCCAACAATGTGTTTGTGGCGTCTCACTGGGCTGAGACAGTGAAAACAGCTCTTTACAACAATTGTCTCACATTAAATCAGTGAGGTTTGTGGCTTCCATTTAGAACATGTTAAGTGTGTGTCTCAGGAGGTCTAGAGCTGCACTTTTAAAGAACTCTCCTCTGACAGAAACCTGTTAGGATATAAAAACTACACTGGAAAAAARTGGTCTGGATCATCTTCATTTCAAAGTGCACTCCAGTAAATTTAATCTTTAATGTAGGTTAAAGTGGGTATGATGTGAAGCTCAGAACACAACTAAACTGCATTTTTCATTTTTGAAAAATGCAGACTCTCAAAGTTTCACTCAAAAAGGTTGAGTGAAATGTGACTGGGCAGCTAACTGCTCACTTTGTGAATGAAATAGGCTTTTTTTGTTTGTTTCACAGAGTTCTGACTGTCTGTGGTGCTCACAGGTTGAGTATAAAGTTGCTGCAGTCATCACCATAAGCTGTTTTTATACGTGTCATATGTTCAGAGGATCTGAGTGTTACAGATAGGTTCTGCTGGAGGCTTCTTCCTGTTCAAAGGAAGTTGTTCCTTTCTGTCAACTCTACGATGCTCAGTATGGGAGACTGCATCAAAGAGATGTTTTCATGCAGTGGTGTTTAATCCTGGAGGGCCACTWTCCTGCATGTCTAGATGTTCCTCTGCTTCAACACACCTGATTTAAAGAAGTGATAAAGATAAAGATCTGCAGAAGAGCAGAAAATGAATAAAACATGCAGGACTGAGGACCAATGTTTTAACAATCTGCTGGTTTCTTTAAACTTCTTACAATCAGCATTTCATAATGTACTGAATGTGGGTGTAGTGATTAATCTATTYGGATTAATCTGTTTTTAACCGTTTTTGTTGTTTAGTACCCTGGGACAACCTTGTTATAATCTGGTGCTCATCTCCAGTGATTCTGATGTGACAGCTACACAAATAAACTGATCTCAGTTTAATAAGACTCTTATTGTGAAGGAGTCGAGTTGTACCGTTGTCTTAGTGCTGCTGCCACAGTAATACCTTGTGTAGAAATACATTTCTAGTTTACCCAYTATAAATATACCTGAATACCTACAGCTCTTACTTCTCACATACYTGGGTATATTTACTGAATATACTCAAGTCATAGCTACAAGTTTGYGCAGTGACACAAAAGTTGTTTTGTAGTTTAAACTTTTGATTTTACTTCAACTCAATGGAAAATGAGTCATTTTACAAAACCTTTGCAAACATTAATATTCATCAGAAACTTGCACAAAAATATGAAACAATCTGGATTTTCACCATAAAAGTCAAAGTTTTCTAACATTTCTGTCACTGCCCAAACTACTGGCTTTGTGGGTCATAAATAAAGAACAGATTCAAATTTAGACCCAAAGTTCCAACAATTGAGGACAGACGGTTCAAACATGAAGGAACACGGAAGAAACAAGGAGGCAGTTTTGATGGGATGGTTCCTTTGTGTCTTTGGGCTTAGGTGTGTTCATACCTTCAAACAGCCCAAACCTGCTCAACAGTTTCTCTCTCACACTCTCACAAACACACAACTTGGCATTTTTTTTCGTTCGTTTCCTACAGACTGATGCTAATGACACCAGATCAGGTAAAAAACAGTGATCTGGTTCATGTTAGTGTTGATTGAGAAATGGCTGCAGACAAACCTTTCTTAATGATCACTTGATGTGCTTACAAACACACACACACACACACACTAAGTGTCTTGATCAAAGACATTTGTGCATGAAATGGAGGAAACGGGAATCAAACTGCCAACCCTGTGCATTACCTCAGACAAGGTGGTGCAGAGTGTAGCGAGCTGCTGGGAGGTGCTCTGCCTCAGGTCCGGTCCAGTCCAGGCCTGCTTTAGTCTCTCCCTCTCCAAGGTCAAAACCTCGTGGATCGACTTCAGAGAAGCGTGAACTGCAACATTCAGAACATTGAAACCACAATTAACAAAAGAATCAGCATTTTCTGCGAAAATGTAGCATGAATGCTTAAAGCTAAAAGACTTTTGCAGAAAATATGTACAAAATTGTTGAAATTTATTGTAAAATAGCCAAAAAAGGGCTGAAAATAGCAGAAAAGCAGGTAAAAAGTAGCTGAAAACGCTGAATCTAGCACAAAGAGATTGTTAGCTGAAATAAACAGCTGAAAGAAAGTATTTAAAAATAACAAAAGGTGAATTTAGCTGAAAAAGGGCAAAATTAGCTTCAAATAGCTGGTAAAAGCAAAAATTAGAATAGCTGAAAAAGAAAAAAGAAACAGATATTAGCAAAAAAAAAAAAGGGGGAGCTAAAATTAGCACAAAGAAGTTAAGAAAAGCAGAACCAGAAGAAGTAGTGAGTGCAGGAAAGTTTTAACTATTTTAAAGGATTGTAAGGGTGTTGAAGACAGCTCCACTAATTTTCAGAACAAAAATTGTCAAAAATGCTAAATATCTAAGTATAAATATCTGACATACCAAATGCCATWGCCGGAATGTCCTGAAGGAGTTGAACATTTTTATATATGAATTGATGAAATAACACAAAATTTGCAGAACGAAATACTTGCGAAAACATGTACAGAAGAAAAAAGGATCTCAGCAGTAAGTATGCTTAATAGCATCCTCACAATAATATCAAAATAAAGTCCTACAGCTTCATGCAATCCATTCATCTCCCTCTTGTTCCAGAGTCAGGGCTTGGCTTGAGCGATGTGGTCCAGACCTCTTTCCAGACTCCAAGTGGTTCTCAGACCAGCTGAGACACAGAATGTCCGGGGTCTACACCAGGGCCTCCAACCAATCAGACATATCTGAAGCACCTCCCTAGGGAGGTGCCCAGGAGTCGACCCAGATGAACCACCTCAACTGGTTCCTCTCGATGTGGAGGAGCAGCAGCTCAACTCTGAGGCCCTTTGGCTACACACTCGCCCTATTCCCTACACACTCTGAAGCCCCCTCGCAGTTGAACTGAGTCACCTTGATGGCGCTGTATACACCCTCCCCTTTTGAGACGGGCTCTCCTCACACCACCGGAACAGGAAGCTGTCGTCACCATGGTAACAATCCAAGCTTTGGCAGCGACTGAATGCAGGAGAACAAAAGCTTGTTTTTAAATAGGACCAAAGAAAATATTTAATTAGGCCCACATTTTAGAGTTTTCATATGACTTTATTTGTAACAGTGTGATAACTTGTCAAAATATTTGCACTTTTAAACATTTTTATTTATTTTTCTTTATTTTTTAATGTTTCCTTTTTTCTTTTTTAAATATGGACCAGGGTTCTGTGTCTTTAATAAAGTTTGAACTGAATTAAACATGATTTTTATGAAATTATATTTGTTGGTGAGGTGTTTACTTAGTACCTGTGTACAAAACACATGTGGAACTTATATTTATACATCCKGTCCTCCATGTCGACCACTATTTGCTGCTCAAGTCTGCACTGGATGRWGARTCGCTGTGGAMGGCTTAATAAGCCCCTCYCACCTAATTGGTTTCAGATGGGACTTAATATGGCCAACCCTCCGCGGGAACGCACAAACTGAGCGAGTAGGGAGTAGGGCGAGGGTGTAGCCACTGACTGGGAAAGGCCCACAGTCTCTCCCAGATAACTGAACTTCTCATCCTCTCTCTACAGAGTCCAGATACCCTGCAGAGAAAACTCATTTCAACMGCCTGTGCCCACCATCTCTTTCAGTCCCTTCAGGTGAGGGTAGGAACACAGACCAACAGGTAAACAGAGAGCTTCTTACAGCTCAGCCTCCTCTTCATCACAACAGAGCAGCAGAGTCCACAATGCTGCAGAAGCTGCATGGATCCATCTGTCAGTCTCACTCCATTCTTCACTCACATGTGAACAAAACCCCAAGATACTTCAACTCCCCCCACATGAGGCAGAACCTCGCCCCCAACCTGGGGAGAACCAATCACCCTTTAAAGACTCATCCCAGCTGTGAATCGTTCCATTGAGAGCTGAAGATCACAGCACAGTGACCAATAGGGTATCAATGCGTTCATGACYGTRTTATATTTAAATGATCATTTTGAAACTTTGTTGATAGTACTAGCTGTTGGGGGAGGTAAGTGTCTGGGGGGTTATTTATTGTCCTAGAACCGACCAACAGGACCACATTGACTGGAAACAGAATAAATGCAACCCCCCCCCCAGATCAGAACATGATGAACATGACTCAGTTACTACCACTAATTTCAACTCAGTATCTGTAAAATTAACTTAGTTCAGCCATTTGTGTGTTTGTTAAAGTGAATTAACCATCTTAAACTGGGGTAAGTCCAACTGTGAGTCAGTTAAAGTAATAATTGAATTTTATCTACAAGAGTTTTATTAAAATCTGTCCAWGAGATATTTTGCTAACAGATACAGGCAAAAGAATTGCCTTTCCYCTTTGTTGGCAGGTGATAAACAGTCAGCTGGTCAAAACATTTATGTGTGGTCCTACATACAGAAATGACATGCCATTTAAAGACAGATGAGTTTTATTTTTGTTTAAAGAATGCTCAGTTTAATATTTCATTAATCATTCAGCTCAAAATCTATACATTCCCTATAGGAACTAATCTGTGTGTCCATGGGAAAAGTGGGTGAAGTCATGTGTATTTGTCTCAGTAAAAACAGACTGTTGTATTCTGCTTTAGCTCAAAAACAACAACAAAAATTGTTGTTTATTACCCACAACCTGTGGTCAGGAAAAAAAGAAAAAAGAAAAATAAGTCACAGGAAACACTGAACATTTACCCGGTGTTACAAACCAAAGCCTTACCCTTCTGAGACAGACTGCAAATGTCTTGGTGGAGTTTCTTGGTCTCAGGTGAGGTGACCTGAGGGTTGGACAGCTGGGAGTAAACATAGTCTGGTATGGACTGAACCGATGAGGCCAGATTGTTGGTGCTCAAGTGAGTTGAAGTGAACTGAGGACGGCAGAAACAAGAATTACTTACGATGGAAGATGTGTGCATCAGCTCTGCAGCAGAARCTGMGCCCGTATTTATCAAACTTCTTAGAYRTACTCTTAAGAATGCTGCTAAGAGTGGACTTAAGTGTAAAATAATTCTTAGTTAAAAGCTGACAGTAAAAGTCAGTTATGAAGCGTCTCAGTCTTACTTTAAGTGAAGTGTAGGAGTAATTCTTAAGTGTCAGTCTTAGAGCTGATTTGTGACACCTGCTGTGCCACAAAGCTGATCCTGGATGACGTCGTTAGAAAAAACACCAGCATGGACCAATCACTGCCTCGGATTTCATGTTCAAGAATATTGTTTGAGTTTCTCAGTGCGTTGCTTGAACTGTCGGGTCGGAGAAATGTCAAGATAAGACTGAAAATGCTAKGATAAGTTCACTTTCAACACACTAATGTTGTCACCTTGTACTGATTGTCTGTAGAATTACATAAAATGTCCTCATTTGCGTCATGAATAGAGATGAAAATCTCAAATTTTTAAGTCAAAAACTCAGCAGCTTTAAATTTATGTCTCAGAGCCTGAGGTAATGTTGAGCTGCTCCCTTCTCCTCTTCGCCACTGTCTGCAGACAACACCAGCTTTACACACATGCACACACGCACACACAACCCGCTCCGTCATTAACAGCTTGGTCCGAGCGCCCCCACCCACCCCGCGCACTCCATCGTATCACGCGATTGTTAATATAATAAACGAAACGTTCAATCCCACCGTAATTTTAATATCTTTCTTTGTGTGTGTGTGTGTTTGTCTGCACTCACCAGCTGAGTATATTTAATATTTAATCCAAAAACTACACACAGATATCCGCCTTTTATTCCAACTTTATGCACAGTTTTTTATTTTTTTTAATCTTTTTTACCTTTGTTTCTTTTGTATATTTCTGATTAAACCTGTTTTCCACATCTTATAACTGAGAATGACACTCAGGTGGGGAGGAGG